ACCAGCCATTAATTTCTGATCTCAAGCTCAAGCGCACTTGGGTTATGCAGCAGGACAATGATCCAAAACACACCAGCAAGTCCACCTCTGAATGGCTCAAGAAAAACAAAATTAAGGTTTTGGAGTGGCCAAACCAAAGTCCGGACTTAAATTCGATTGAGATGCTGTGGCATGACCTTAAACACTCCATTCGTGCTCAAAAACCCTCCAATTTGGCTGAATGAAAACAATTCTGCAAAGAAGAGTGGGCCAAAATTCATGCGAAAGACTCATTGCCATCGCAAACGCTTGATTGCAGTTGTTGCTGCAAAGCGTGGCACAACCAGTTATTAGATTTAGGGGGCAATTACTTTTTCACGTAGTGCCAGGCAGGTTTGGACAGCTTTTTTCCCTTAATAAACGAAATTATAATTTCAAAACTGCAGTTTGTATTTACTCAGGTTATCTTTGTGTAATATTAAAATTAGTTTGATGATCTGAATCTTTTAAATAAGTAAGGAAATATTTAATTATGTATAAAATATAATACATTATGTATAGATCTATAAAATACCTAAATATATAAAAATTTATAAATATAATAAAGATTCTTTCTTGTGCTCTTTCAGAGCACTACAGTCTTCATTCACATCAGAAGTGGATATTTTCAGTGGATTGGTTTGGTTCAGATCTGACTGTCCATTCATCTAAACCAGATCTCGGCGTCCTGAACCCAGAGGAGTCATGATCCTGAACTCCCGCTGACTTCCTCACATGAACTCGCTGTATAAAACCATTACACAATCCTTCACGCTGCCTCATAAAACTGTCACGCTGTGGTGCTACAGTCGTACAGCGCACAGAGCAGAGCTTAAGGGCGTCTGAGGCGTACGGTGAGTGTTCTGGACGGACGGTGGCAGATAATCAGCGCCGTATTTCCTGCGTGTTTCAGACTGAATCTGGGAGCTTTGCACGTTGCCCTTTCTGTATCAGAGCACTGCAGTGATTTAAATCTCCTCTGACAGCTTCGTTCCTTTATATTATTTATAAATGTCTGGTTAAGGGTAGCTCATGGGCTCAGAGCTGCTTTCTGACCCTCTGCTTTTCAGCAAACTGGGGAAAAAATGCACTAAAGTCCTTGAATAGACATGTGCTACAGCCCAGAGATAAAATCCAATATACATGATAAGAAGAGATTCGTGGAAAAAGTTTCAGATGGCCTTAATAAGTCAAGTCAAGTCACCTTTATTTATATAGCGCTTTTAACAATACAGATTGTGTCAAAGCAACTGAACAGCATTAATTAGGAAAATAGTGTGTCAATAATGCAAAATGACAATAGTAAACACAGTCATTTTCAGTTAAAGGTAGTTAATCATCAATAAGTCTGGATTCATATCCTCTCTATTACAATTACTAGCTATAAAATGGAACAAATTCATAAAATTCATTTCATAAGCTGTTGCATTCAATTCAATGAAAGAGCTTACATAAGGATGGATTCATGAACACTTTTCCCAGAATTGCATTCAGCCAGTGATCCATGAATAAGACCCATTCTGTGCAATTTGCTTGAATGTAGTTAACGTGAAAAATATTTGCAATTCTTAATTAAATGGCAATGAACCAGAAAATAGAAATGCTGGTCAGTGGTCAGGTTTTTAAAACTCTGCTATCAGAGTCTGAACCAATCATTACACTTCTGAAAGTGCTGGCGCAATAACTTCACAAGAAAACATATTATCTTCATTTAGCTAGTTATGTGGTGGAAATAAAAGTCATAAAATGACACATTTATACGTAAAGACCTACAGAAGACATGTAGACAATATATTTCCAGTGCATATGAAAAAGTAAAGCATGGAGCAGCGCAAGACAAGCTACCATCCCAACAGAAGTCTTTCCGCATCATTTTATATTAATATAACAGGTTTCATGTGTGAAAGTGGCTATTTAAAACATTTGCTACTGTATCACGCTAAATTAGGATGAATAACACCAACATACTGTTAGCACACACTCTTTTACAACTAACAGATTTAATTATAACAATTAGCCCTCAAAAAAACAAAACAAAACAAAAAACAAAGTAGGGCTGCACAATATATGGAAATAAAATTAATATTACAATACAGCAATGTGCATGATCTGGTGTTTGTTTCGACATCTCAGTTCATTTACTGTGAATCGAGCCGCTCTGAGACGCTGGAAAAACATATCAAGAGCTGCAGTGTGTAAATGAACACAATGCAGCGATTCACACTGAATCCACAGCGCATACTGATTTGCCATCAAACCGCCAAAATAAAAGCACGATCCAGGGTATTGTAGTTAATTAAAATTAAAGCAATGAAAAAAAACATTTTCAGCACTTGAAATTAAATAAACGTGGTCACTAAAATTGAATAAAATGTAAAAAAAAAAAAAAAAAAAAAAAAAAAAAAAAATTATATATATATACATATAGTTTAACATGATGTAATTAAATAACGAAATATAAAATAAAAAATATATAGACATGTTTAAAAAACTACTAAAAATACCAAAAACACAATAAAAACTTTTAAATGAAAAATACAAAAATAAAAAACTAACTCAAAATATGAATAAAACTATAATAGTGCCTCAATGATACTAAACTAACACTAGCTTGATGCTTTAATGTTTGAAAATTGAAAATAATAAGACATTTTAGTACTGTAATTTATAAATACTTAATTTTTTACAGCGCAATAGTATTATTACAAATGTATTTCTTATGTTTATTTTTTTTTAAATCGCAATACAAATCATTATTATTATTATTTTATAGTCATATTGAATGGGTCAAAAACAGCAATAACACGGCATCAAGTTGAAAGTTGTTGTTATTTTCAACTTTTCTGAAGTTTTTCCCAAATCGTTCAGCCCTTAAAGGATGGTTCACATTTAAAAAGTAAAAAGTCAATGTATCTGCCTTTTTTAAAACTATTTTTTATTTCTATGCACATGCACTCCTCAACAAAATCACCCTGATAATTCTAGAATGACAAATTCAATATACTGTATATTGCAGAAAAAAATATCACAATGCCAGTTTTTTTTCCCAATATTGTGCCACCATCCTACAAAGGTCAAACTCATCACATCCCATCACGAGCTGTAATTCTGAGGCGAATTTCATTTGAAAGCGAGCGTCATGTTGATCGGCTCACTATAAAGTGAGCACTGCACACAAATAAATCCATCACAGACTGTCTCATTCCCGACGTGCCCTTCAGGGACACAGAAATGCCATCTGGAAATCAACCTTGAAATAAAGACCAAACGGACACATATAGTACATTTCACTGTCTTGGCAGCACATCACGATGGTCTATTAGGCCTTTTTGTGGCCTTTACTCCCTCAATTAGCCTCGAATAAAACATTAGTGCTGTGTTAGATGAGGATTTTGATTTCTTGCATGGAATATGATACGCAGTTTATCCAGAGAGACATTAATCTGCTCCTCTAAGCCAAAGTATGAGCGAATCAACGCCGAAGAGCCGCTGGCAGAGCGCTAAACCTACATAATGCTCATGAGCCGTAAATAAATATGCCATAGCAATGCACACTTGGAGAAACGAGCAATGTGACGCTCTCCGTTTGACCCCGGGTGGTATTTAAGACGACTTAAATGTGAGTAACGTGAGTCTCCGGAGCCGCTCAGACTTAAATCCCCTTCATCCCGTGAACTTATGTTAGCATATACTTCATAATGGGTGCCCTGCAGGAGTTCACGGGGACACCGGAGATGCGCTAGACCTTTGTGTGCTGGAGGTAATTTAACGGCTCAGCGAGGAGAGGTCTCACAGAAAAGACTCTTCAGAGGAATTTAATTAAAGCAGTAATAACATTGAAACGCACAAATCAGACACAGACGAGCTTCTGCTCTCGCATACATCGCATCGCACCGCAGTGCTGACAGATGCAGAAATCAATGCTTCACTTGTAATATTCCGCTTTCTATGTGTTTCATCTCTTGAAGTGGCATTTTAATGCTGATTGACAGGATATATATTTTAAATTAAAGGCCTCATTCTTGTTGCCGAAATGCAAAAAGTGCACAGCATCGCTTTATTATTATTATTACTGTAATGCATTACTGAAAAACAGACGATAATTCTTTTAAGTACAAAAAATACTGCTATTTGATATTGTCAGAACAGGATGATTTTCATTATTGTATTATAGTAATAAGAATAAAGCAATAAAACCCCTTAAATGGCATTTGTATTGATTTCTATTGATGCTTGATTCTGCCAAGAAAATAACATTTAAAAAGTAATTGAGTTCTGACTTTTTTCACTTAGTTGCGAGTTTACATCTCACAATTCAGTAAAAAGTCAGAATTGTGTGATAGAAACGTATAAACTCGTAATTCTTTTGCACAATTCTATCGCAAAAGATATAAACTCACAATTCTGAGGAAAAAAGTCCAAAAGGGAGACACAAACGTGCAATTCTAAGAAAAAAATGTCCAAATTGTGAGATATAAACTTGCAATTCTAAGAAAAAAAAACTAAATTGTGAGGTATAAACTTGCAATTTTGAAAAAAAAGGTCCAAACTGCAAGATATAAACATGCAATTCTGAGAAAAAAGTTACAAATATAACAAATAAACTTGCAATTCTGAGAAAAAAAGTCCAAAAAATGTGAGACAACCTTGCAGTTCTAAGAAAAAAGTCGCAATTACCTTTTTTATATATAGTAAAAAAACGGACTGAGTCCAAACTTTTGAATGCTAGTGTATTTTTGACATACAAATATTGGCAGAGCAAATGCAAAACTGTTATCAAAAAGCCTGTATATATACAGTAATAAGAATGAAGCAATAAAAGCCCTTTATAATAGGTTACAAATGATTTGTTCCCAGTGTTTGATGTTTTGTAGGTTTGCGCTCACTCACCCGGACTCTCTGCACCTCCATGAAGACGGCTCTCTGGAAGGCCTTCTCCCACAGCACCAGCTCGGAGCCCAGCTCCACGCTGTAGCAGAAGCTCTGGCCGTGACCCACCAGCACACTGAAGCAGAAGGGTTCACTGTCCCGCAGCTCACCGTCCTGCTGGAGCCCCAGATAAAACTTGGTCTGTATCCAGCAGTCTTCAGCTATCCACAGCTAGACAGCAACGAAAGAGAAACAGTGAGCCAAACACATTACTGTTCTAACTTTTTTTGGATTCTATATAACTATAAATATGAATAGATACACTACTGTTCATAGGTTTGGGGTCGGTAAGATTTTTGTAAGACTGGGCTGCATTTATTTGATCAAAATACAGTAATATTGCGAAATATTACTACAATTTAAAATCACTAATTAAATATATTTTAAGAAGTAATTTATTTCTGTGATGCGCAGCTGTATTTTCAGCATCATTACTCCAGTCTTCAGTGTCACATGATCTTCAGAAATCATAATAATATACTGATTTACTGCTCAAGAAACATTTCTGATTATTATCAATGTTGAAAACAGTCGTGCTGCCCAATATTTTTGTGGAAACCGTAATACATTTTATTTTTCATTTTCGTTCGTACCTTATGAACCTTAAAAAGAACCTCACAGAGGTGAAAACTAGCCTCTGCTTGAGTCCAGTCTGATGCCAAGATCTGATACAAAAACACAGAAAGAAATCATACTGTTACACATCTATGATTAGTGAGCACACAGCCGCTTACTTGTTTTCTCGCAGTAACCTGAGGTTGAAGGACTAGTTCACCCGAAAATGAACATGTGCTGAAAATGTGCTCACCCTCAGGCCATACGAGATGTAGATGAGTTAGTCTCTTCATCAGATTTGGAGAAATGTAGCATTGCATCACTTGCTCAGCAATGGATGCTCTAAAGTGAATGGGTGCCGTCAGAATGAGAGTCCAAACAGCTGATAAAACATCACAATAATCCACAGCACTCCAGTCCATCAGTTAACATCTGGAGAAGACAAAAGCTGAAACAAATCCAGCATTAAGGTGTTTTTAACTAAAAATATGAGTCCATAATCCATAATAACGCTTCCTCCAGTGAAAAAGTCCATCTCCTGTTGTCTCTCACATCAAAATCCAGCCACATATCTGTTTAGAGCTGTTTTGGCTTGTAAACGCTTCTTGATCTCTGCAGATTTCTCTCCTGATTCAGACCAGACCACGTTTTCACTGGAGGAAGCGTTATTATGGATTATGGACTCGTATTTTAGTTAAAAACGTATTAATGATGGATTTGTTTCAGTTTTTGTCTTCTCCGGATGGATTTTGCTGGACTGGAGTGCTGTGGATTACTTGTGGATTATTGTGATGTTCTTATCAGCTGTTTGGACTCTCATTCTGACGGCACCCATTCACTGCAGAGCATCCATTGCTGAGTCACTGACGCAATGCTACATTTCTCCAAATCTGATGAAGAAACAAACTCATCCTATAATCTTGGATGGCCTGATGGTGAGAACATTTTCAGCAAATGTTAATTTTCATGTGAATTACTCCATTAAGAAAACATGTGCACAATGGTTAGGTTTGTGGATCAATTCTACATTCTTTCAACACAAGTCTGTTAACCAAGTAATGCAATGTAATGCAGACACTGATTTAGATTCTACCGATTCATGAATTCACTCCTCTGTTTTGGAAAACTAGTTGCACTGGTCATTTGTTTTATTTCTTGCCTTCAGAAATAGATTTCAACGCTGCCATTTCCATTAAAATTCATGCGTATGAAAAAGTTTGCAGTAATTACCTCTTCATGACCTACAGAGACATAACGCTTATTTAACAGTCTGTTCTCTCTGCGCACACCGAGCTAAAGCGGCACAGACGTAAATCTGAAACATAATGAGATGCTAATGAATTCGCTGAATGTCTCTCCAGGCTTTAAGTCATGTTAAATGCTATGTTTCCTTAGATTTCTCTCTTTATTAATTCAGTAATGCACATTTAATGAAATGGCGAGAAATATCAGCACAGCGTTATTTTGGTCACAGAATTTATCAAAACCACTTACAATAACATTAATGCAGTCATAACGCACGTCACGTAGAGGACGACGCTGGAGTCAAGCGAAATATCGCATCGCATTAGGAAGTGCAGACGCTAAAATATCACACAAAACAGTGCCAACACAAAGTGCAGGGCTGTATTTCATAACTGATGAAACTTGTGTCTTCAGGCTTAATGGCAAAGATAAAACATTTGTCACCAATAACATATGAGTGCGAGGCCTCCGCGGTAATGGCTTCTCCTCGCCACAGCCCATTAGAAACTAATAGATTGATTATATATAATTAGAATGGATGTCCTGAGTCTCAGAGCAGCAGAGGACAGGTGAGGTTTGGCACAGTCCACAATGCTTCAGGAGGGAAGACACTGGCTGTGTTCAGAACAGCATACTGCCATATTATGTGTGCTATTTCTGCAGTATGTACTATAGTTTCCAGTGTAATGTAGTACACTAGTGATTGAAATGCTATTTAGGGCTCCCACATTGACCAAATATTTTCCATGGCTTTTCCAGAAAGAGAAAAGCCATTTATAGAGATTGGTTGGTCAGATTTCTATGGAAGTTTGGATTAAAATACAAATAAAAAAAAAAGAGTAATCGCAGCTTTTTTATCTGACAATTCAGATTTTTATTAATATATTATAAGTTTCAGAATTGCAAATAAAAAAAATCTGAATTGTGAGATAAAAAGTCGCAATTACATTTTTTTTATAAATATAAACTCATAATTCTGAGAATAATAGTCCAGTTTGTGAGACATAAAATCACAATTGCGAGAGAAGAACTGTACAATTCGCAATTCTGAAGTAAAAAGTCAGAACTGTAAAAAAAACACAATACATTTTTTTTGATTCCATGTTAGAAACAAGCTTCCACAGATTTTCTATTAATTTCAGGTGAAATTATTAATGAAATTGATTAATTATTATAACATAAATATATATAATATATAATTTCAAGTGTATGTTTATTTTTTTAAATAAATATTTTCATAAATAATAATTTTTTTAAATGATATATGTGAGTGTGTAATTATTAAAATGACAATAATATAATATAATATAATATAATATAATATAATATAATATAAAT